AAGAGTCACTACACAGCTACAAGAGTCACTACACAGCAAGAGTCACTACACAGCTAAAAGAGTCACTACACAGCTAAAAGAGTCACTACACAGCTACAAGAGTCACTACACAGCTACAAGAGTCACTACACAGTAGTTCAATACAGACAAATGTCAAGTTTTGATCTTAGGTCAAGTAAACATCTGTGACACTTATTTTTTTTTTTTTTGTTATCACACTGGCCGACTCCCACCAAGGCAGGGTGGCCCGAAAAAGAAAAACTTTCACCATCATTCACTCCATCACTGTCTTGCCAGAAGGGTGCTCTACACTACAGTTTTTAAACTGCAACATTAACACCCCTCCTTCAGAGTGCAGGCACTGTACTTCCCATCTCCAGGACTCAAGTCCGGCCTGCCGGTTTCCCTGAATCCCTTCATAAATGTTACTTTGCTCACACTCCAACAGCACGTCAAGTATTAAAAACTTATAAGCTAAATAATCTTTGTGCAAAATAAATGCGACAAAGAGTTGGGAGTCCTGGTTAGCAGAATTTTAAAGCCAAGACAACAGTATACCTGGAGTTTACCTGGAGGGAGTTCCGGGGATCAGCGCCCCCACGGCCCGGTCTGTGACTACGCCTCATGGTGGACCATGGCCTGATCAACCAGGCTGTTACTGCTGGTCGCACGCAACCCGACGTACGAACCACAGCCCGGTTGATCAGGTACTGGCTTTAGGTACCTGCCCAGTGCCTTCTTGAAGACAGCCAGAGGTCTATTTGTAATCCCCCTTATGTATGCTGGGAGGCAATTCAACAGTCTTGGGCCCCTGACACTTATTGTGTCGTCTCTTATCGTGCTAGTTTCACCCCTGCTTTTCTTTGGGGTTATGTTGCATCGTCTGCCGAGTCTTTTGCTTTCATAGGGAGTGATTTTCGTGTGCAAGTTTGGTACTAGTCCCTCTAGGATTTTCCAAGTGTATATAATCATGTATCTCTCTCGCCTGCGTTCTAGGGAGTACAGGTTCAGGAACTTCAAACGTTCCCAGTAATTGAGGTGTTTTATCGCAGTTATACGCGCTTTGAAGGTTCTCTGTACATTTTCTAGGTCAGCAATTTCACCTGCCTTGAAAGGTGCTGTTAGTGTGCAGCAATATTCCAGCCTAGATAGAACAAGCGACCTGAAGAGTGCCATCATGGCCTTGGCATCCCTAGTTTTGAAGGTTCTCATTATCCATCCTGTCATTTTTCTCGTAGATGCGATTGATACAATGTTATGATCCTTGAAGGTGAGATCCTCTGACATGATCACTCCCAGGTCTTTGACATTAGTGCATCAATTTTCTCAATAACGCTAATAAAATTCTTTGATTCATATCTAGAAATATAAATAATAGAAGTTCAAAGTTTATACTTGAACTTCATGTATCTTTGGTACAGCCTCATTCTGATCATGCGCCTAAGTTTTAGCCCCATGTTACAGAACAGATATAAATGCTCTGGGGGAGGTACAGAGGAGGATGACGAAGTTGGTCCCATGTATTAGAAACCTTTCCTATGATGGTACGTTGTAAGCACGGAACTTACACACTGAATAGACGCAGAATTAGGGAAGCCATGACTGGAATTTACAAGTAGGAAATTGAGACACTTATGCAGCATATGAAAATCTTTATTCAGGAAACGTTTCTCCACGCAGTGGCTTCATCAGTCCAATACAAAGAGGAAGGCGTAAGGAGAGGAGGAGTATGAGGTAATCAGTCCCTCGGCCTGGAGTCGATGTGTTCAGTCCATCAATCTTGTAGAATGTACAACATAGGGCCGTAGACGTGGCTTATATACGGCCCTGTGCTGTACATTCTACAAGATTGATGGACTGAACACATCGACTCCAGGGTGAGGGACTGATTACCTCATACTCCTCCTCTCCTTACGCCTTCGTCTTTGTATTGGACTGATGAAGCCACTGTGTGGCGAAACGTTTCCTGAATAAAGACTCTCATATGCTGCATAAGTGTCTCAACGTTCAACTTGTCGGTTTTTCAAACCATTCATTACAAGTAGGAAAACAGAATTAAATGTACGGGACGTAAACAACGTGTGGAAATATCTAGTCAAGACAGGACTCGCAACACTGAATTCAGATTAGATAATTTTATATTTAGATTACATATGGGAAAGCCCTGGTTTGGTAGTGGAGTTGTAGAAAGATGGAACAAAGTCCCGAGTAGCGTCACTGAGGCCAGAACTTTATTTAGCTTTGAAGTTTGCTTAGGTACATGAGTGGCTCTGAGAGGGGTGAGTTAGACTACCCTAGCATGGGCCGATAGGCCTACAGAAATATTCATTCATTCTTATGTCCTTATATATGCCAGTTGCACGATAGAGAGAGTGGTTGAGTGTTAGTAGGACCTGACTAACATAGGTCAGTAGGCCTGCGTCAGTACTCTTCTGCTCTTGTGTTGGGGATCTGTGTGTGTACAGGACCACACCCAGTGAGTATAGGACCACACCCAGTGTGTATATGGGAATAGGAACCACACCCTCTGTGTGTAGGGACCACACCCTGTGTGTATGGAACATACCCTGTGTGTGTAGGGACCACACCTTGTGTGTGTATGGACCACACCCTGTGCGCAGGGACCACACCCTGTGTGTGTGTAGGGATCACACCCTGTGTGTGTGCAGGGACCACACCCTGTGTGTGCAGGGACCACACCCTGTGTGTATGTAGGGATCACACCCTGTGTGTGCAGGGACCACACCCTGTGTGTGTAGGGACCACACCCTGTGTGTGTAGGGATCACACCCTGTGTGTGTGTAGGGATCACACCCTGTGTGTGTGTAGGGATCACACCCTGTGTGTGTGTAGGGATCACACCCTGTGTGTGTAGGAAACACACCCTGTGTGTATGGAACACACCGTGTGTGTATGAATCACACCCTGTGTGTGCAGGGACCACACCCTGTGTGTGTGTAGGAATCACACCCTGTGTGTGTAGGGACCACACCCTGTGTGTGTAGGGATCACACCCTGTGTGTAGGGATCACACCCTGTGTGTGTATGGATCACACCCTGTGTGTGCAGGGACCACACCCTGTGTGTGTAGGGACCACACCCTGTGTGTGTGTAGGGATCACACCCTGTGTGTGTATGGATCACGCCCTGTGTGTGCAGGGACCACACCCTGTGTGTGTGTAGGGACCACACCCTGTGTGTGTGTAGGGAACACACCCTGTGTGTGTGTAGGGAACACACCCTGTGTGTGTAGGGACCACACCTTGTGTGTGTAGGGACCACACCCTGTGTGTGTGTAGGGATCACACCCTGTGTGTGCAGGGACCACACCCTGTGTGTGCAGGGACCACACTCTGTGTGTGTAGGGATCACACCCTGTGTGTGTGTAGGGATCACACCCTGTGTGTGTGTAGGGATCACACCCTGTGTGTGTAGGGAGCACACCCTGTGTGTATGGAACACACCGTGTGTGTATGGATCACACCCTGTGTCCCTGTGTGTGTATGGATCACACCCTGTGTGTGCAGGGACCACACCCTGTGTGTGTAGGGACCACACCCTGTGTGTGTAGGGATCACACCCTGTGTGTGTATGGATCACGCCCTGTGTGTGCAGGGACCACACCCTGTGTGTGTGTAGGGACCACACTCTGTGTGTGTGTAGGGACCACACCCTGTGTGTGTGTAGGGAACACACCCTGTGTGTGTATGGATCACACCCTGTGTGTGCAGGGACCACACCCTGTGTGTGTAGGGACCACACCTGTGTGTGTAGGGACCACACCCTGTGTGTGTGTATGGAACACATCCTGTGTGTATGGAACACACCCTGTGTGTGTAGGAACCACACCCTGTGTGTGCAGGGACCACACCCTGTGTGCGTAGGGACCACACCCTGTGTGTGTAGGGACCACACCCTGTGTGTAGGGACCACACCCTATGTGTGTAGGGACCACACCCTATGTGTGTAGGGACCACACCCTGTGTGTAGGGACCACACCCTGTGTGTAGGGACCACACCCTGTGTGTAGGGACCACACCCTGTGTGTGTAGGGACCACACCCTGTGTGTGTAGGGACCACACCCTGTGTGTATGGACCACACCCTGTGTGCGTAGGGACCACACCCTGTGTGTGTAGGGACCACACCCTGTGTGTAGGGACCACACCCTGTGTGTAGGGACCACACCCTATGTGTGTAGGGACCACACCCTGTGTGTGTAGGGACCACACCTTGTGTGTAGGGACCACACCCTGTATGTGTAGGGACCACACCCTGTGTGTGTAGGGACCACACCCTGTGTGTGTAGGGACCACACCCTGTGTGTGTAGGGACTACACCCTGTGTGTAGGGACCACACCCTGTACATATAGGACTCGTGCCTTGTATAAGAACCACATATTATATTATATAACTTCGTTATCAACAACATTCAACATCCTACGTACTTACGCACACATTTTCACATATTATTTACTGTATCCTACTAATTTCAGCTGTTTTGAAGTCAACAATAACATTATTGCGTATAAAGGCAAGTAACCTTCATTCGTAACTTCAAATACGTGTCTGAGCAGAGTCTAGGTCGTCCACAACATGATCAAACACCGCTGGTGCTCGACATTGCATATCTAAGTCGATTCTAGATTGAAAAAAAGGATCAGTATGGTTTATTGAAAGGGATCAGTGCGTTCCTAAGCCCTTCATGTGGTAATGACCTCCAGGGACTTGGCATTATGATTTTTAGGTAACTTCTGGAATGGGGAAGAGGTTTGGAAACCCATAAGCTGATACGAAGAGAGATTAAGGCAGAATGGAAACCTTTATTGAGATCTCGTTTTAATATTCTGTTTTTTTTTGGGCCCTTTTCTCAAGCGTTGTTTTCAGGTTTAAGAACTGCAGAATCTTGGTCTCTGAGGTAAAATGTTTCTCAGTAAAGATTACTATTCTGTCAGTGTCGACTATTACTATAGGGAAGACAACGTGATAGTGGATACTGACTATTGAGAAGTGACTGTCTGGTAGTAGGCGTGAGTTAGGCCTCCTGGGGTAGGCCTCTGTGTTAGCAGGTCCAAAAGGGTACGTGGTTTTCACAAGTGTCAGCCGCCACCACCAGCACCACTACAACCACCATCACTCACCACTGTCACCAATACACTAAAGCTCGGCTCTGCCACCCCACGCGGTCCAAGGTGGCGCTACCCCTATCCCCAACCCCCTCCCAAGCACCACCATCCCCCCGCCCATACACTTCCATCTCCCTCCTCCAGACCCCATCGATCACTACACATCCCCTCTCCCCTACGTATCCGCTTTCCTCCACCTCCCTCCTCTGTTACCCCTCGCGTTGATGAGTTCTTCATCAACACTGTTGATGTCATGCAGCTTGAAGAAAAGACACAAGTCGTAGAATAAGCTTTGTTAGAGCTTCATACAGCTCTAACACAACGAAAGAGAGGCAGTCAAAGCTTATTCTTACCTTCATTGTCATCAGCAATGTATTTGAATTGATGTCGTACAGGTAGACACTCCTAGTATGTTGCCTGTAGTTTGTTCCGGGGGCCACCGCCCCCGCGACCTGATCCCAGACCAGGCCTCCAGGTTCCTGGCCTGGTGGGCTAGGCTGCTGATGCCAGCCGAAAGCAGACTGACGGTTTCTCCCAGCCCGGCTGTCGTCTGTACCCTCCTTGGCTTTACAGAGTAGTAGTGAGATACAGGCGGGGCCAAGAGCTAAGGTTCGACCGCTGAAGGTAGCAGCATGATGTCCCATGAATGGTGTTCTATATGTGCCTGGCTGAAGTCACATGTACAGTGAAGGTTCTCTGTACATTCTCTAATACCAGTCTTATAACGGGTTGTTAATGGATAACAGTATTCCAGCCTAGAGAACAGGTGACTTAAAGAGGCGAGAAACATACACGAGGGAGATACATGATAATATACACTTGGAAAATCCTTGAGGGATTAGTCTCAAATCTGCACATGAAAATCTCTCCCTACGAAAGCAAAAGACTCGGCAGGTGATGCAACGTCTGCCCAGTGGAAAACAGGGCGTCACGAGTATGTTAAGAGACAACACAGTGTCAGAGACCCAAGACTCTTTAACTGCCTCCCAGCATACATAATGAGTGATTACTAATAGACCGCTAGCTGTGTTCAAGGCGCTGGATACGCGCCTAAAGTCAGTACCTGATCTGCCGGGCTATGGCTCGTACGCCGGTTTACTTGCTGTCAGCAGTAACAGCCTCGTTGATCAGGCCCTGATCCACCACGAAGCCTGGTCACGGACCGGGCCGCGGGGACGTTGGCCCCCGAACCCCCCCCCCTTCCCCCGATATAGGTCAGATATCATTAGCTTTGCATCTCTCGATCTGAAGATTTTCACTATTCATCCCATCATTTCCCCTCTGTTGTAACACGGCGCTGTTGTGACACGGCGCTGTTGTAACACGGCGCTGTTGTGACACGGCGCTGTTGTGACACGGCGCTGTTGTAACACGGCGCTGTTGTGATCCTTGAATGTGAGATCCTCTGATATTATCATAACTAAGTCCTGCACATTGGTTTGTTTTGATCTACTGTGTTTTTTCCATGAGTTACTGAAATTTGTCCCCCCTTGAACATCATGTTTTCTGTGGCCCATTGAAAGATTTAATTTATATCCCTTTTGTGTCGGATATGAGGATGAGAAAAAGGAAGGTGACAAGTACTGTGCCTTGGGGAACAGAGCTTCTCACTGTAGCAGTCACTGACACTTAACTCAGTTTACTATTACTCTTTACGTAATTTTTATCAGCAAGCTAGAAACCCATCTGCCCATTTTCAAGATATTCCTTTTGCACGCATTTTATGCGCTGTTGCAAAGTCTGTGTAAACTATAGTACATCCACATTTTGTCTACCAGTGTATCTAAGACCATGTCGTATTGGTCTCGTAGTTGTGAGAGGTGAGAGTGAACTGCTCTAAATCCATGCCACCCTGTGTTGCGCAAGTTTTCTGAATCCATGTGGTTAGCGATCTTCTTATAATTCTTTCAAATATTTTTATGTGGGACGTCAGTGTTATTGGTTTATAGTTTTGCCACCATTGTGAAGTGGGGTTATACACGTTATTGTTATCAGCTGTAGGATGATCCCTGTGTCTAGGCTGACTCTCTATAGAATAATTAAGGCAACTGGCAGGGGTTTCTGGCAGGTCATGATGATCATGCAGTTCCACAAGTCTCTGCCTGGGGAAGAGTGCATGTACATGCTGCCATTGGTTTTTTCGAAGTCAAGTTGAGGTTTGGTTTTATGTTGGAGATTTGAGAGATGTTGAAAAAGTTTCAAGTCTTGTTTATGAATTCCCTCATATTGTCATCCTTTGTCTGATTAATGGCTAAGTTAACGCGGTCATATTGAGACATCAGCAGTTCTTTATTATCATCAAGTTCCGTCTTGCTGCAACAAACACCCACATACGGGATGTGCTGTTCCTCTGAATTTTTTAATTTGGATTTCTATAATTTTAAATAATTACCTATAGTTCTCTCTCTCTCTCTCTCTCTCTCTCCTCTCTCTCTCTCTCTCTCTCTCTCTCTCATATATATATATATATTATATATATATATATATATATATATATATATATATATATATATATATATATATATATATGTATAGAAACTCACTGAGACAGGTTGAAATAAAAAGATAAACGAAAGTTTTTCTTTATAAATTAGAAGGGGTTACTAGCCCCTTGCTGCTGGCATTTTAGTTGCCTCTTACAACACGCATGGCTTACGGAGGAAGAATTCTGTTCCATTTTCCATGGAAGATGTAAGTTATATATATATATATATATATATATATATATATATATATATATATATATATATATATATATATATATATATATATTAACAAGTCGGCCGTCTCCCACCGAGGCAGGGTGATCCAAAAAGAAAGAAAATCCCCAAAAAAGAAAATATTTTCATTATCATTTAACACTTTCACCTCACTAACACATAATCACTGTTTTTGCAGAGGTGCTCAGAATACAACAGATTTTAAGCATATACGTATAAAGATACACAACATATCCCTCCAAACTGCCAATATCCCAAACCCCTCCTTTAAAGTGCAGGCATTGTACTTCCCATTTCCAGGACTCAAGTCCGACTATATGAAAATAACCGGTTTCCCTGAATCCCTTCACTACATATTACCTTGCTCACACTCCAACAGCTCGTCAGGTCCCAAATACCATTCGTCTCCATTCACTCCTATCTAACACGCTCACGCACGCTTGCTGGATGTCCAAGCCCCTCGTCCACAAAACCTCCTTTACCCCCTCCCTCCAACCTTTTCGAGGAAGACCCCTACCCCGCCTTCCTTCCCCTACAGATTTATACGCTCTCCATGTCAGCCTACTTTGATCCATTATCTCTAAACGACCAAACCACCTCAACAACCCCTCTTCAGCCCTCTGACTAATACTTTTATTAACTCCACACCTTCTCCTAATTTCCACACTCCGAATTTTCTGCATAATATTTACACCACACATTGCCCTTAGACAGGACATCTCCACTGCCTCCAACAGCCTCCTCGCTGCAGCATTTACAACCCAAGTTTCACACCCATATAAGAGTGTTGGTACTACTATACTTTCATACATTCCCTTCTTTGCCTCCATAGATAACGTTTTTTGACTCCACATATACCTCAACGCACCACTCACCTTTTTTCCCTCATCAATTCTATGATTAACCTCATCCTTCATAAATCCATCCGCCGACACGTCAACTCCCAAATATCTGAAAACATTCACTTCTTCCATACTCCTCCTCCCCAATTTGATATCCAATTTTTCTTTATCTAAATCATTTGATACCCTCATCACCTTACTCTTTTCTATGTTCACTTTCAACTTTCTACCTTTACACACACTCCCAAACTCATCCACTAACCTTTGCAATTTTTCTTTAGAATCTCTCATAAGCACAGTATCATCAGCAAAAAGTAACTGTCAATTCCCATTTTGTATTTGATTCCCCATAATTTAATCCCACCCCTCTCCCGAACACCCTAGCATTTACTTCTTTTACGACCCCATCTATAAATATATTAAACAACCATGGTGACATTACACATCTCTGTCTAAGACCAACTTTTACCGGGAAGTAGTCTCCCTCTCTTCTACACACCCTAACCTGAGCCTCACTATCCTCATAAAAACTCTTTACAGCATTTAGTAACTTACCACCTATTCCATATACTTGCAACATCTGCCACATTGCTCCCCTATCCACACTATCATATGCCTTTTTTAAATCCATAAACGCAATAAAAACTTCCCTACCTTTATCTAAATACTGTTCACATATATGCTTCAATGTAAACACTTGATCTACTTGATCTACATTCTTTTCTGTAGTAGTATGAACCTTGAGTATATTTCTAATGCCACAGAGTTAATCTTCCAAGACATTGGCTCAGTCATGTTATTTAATACATGTTATTTTATATATGTTATTTAATACATGTTATTTAATACATCTTCCCAGTGTATTTTGTTAAAGGGAAGATTTATTTGATCCCAGTTGTTAAAATTGAATTTGGTGAATTCTTCCTATGATTGTACTCATTTGTATTTATTTGTGATTGTACAGGGGAAATCTCAGCTCCTGGCCCCTGCCTCTCAGCTAGCGGCTACTGGGTTCGCTCTCCTGGCCTCCTGAGCCCTAATATACCTTTTCTTAAAATTAACTATGGATCCTACCTCTATAAAGATAAAGATTTTAATTCTTTGTAAAGGTTACAATATGTAATTCCAATTTTGGTTTGCTAAATACGAATAGTCACTATCATGCCTGGGCACCTCACTGTATAGATATTACCTAACATCCCTGTGACTTGTCTGTGTTTGTAACCTCCAGTTGAGTCCTCGTGTACCTTAGACTCGCCTCTTAGAGTTGCTCTCTTCAACTTGTCTGTTCCTCTCAGTATCTTAAACATCTTAATCATGTCATCTGGTCCTTCTGTTATGTAGTGTCTTCAGGTTTAACTCCTGAAGCCTCTCATGACCTCAGATCCCTCAGGTTTGAGGATGTCTTGTTGCAGTCCTCAGGTTTGAGACAAGTCATGTTGCAAACCTCAGGTCTGAGACTAGCCTTGTTGTAACC